TGATTCTTGTGAGGGAAGAGAAAGGTGGGCCAATCGTATTGCGTACGATGGAAGAACGAAGTTGGGCTGTGGACAGAGAAACACGTGAAACATTCTGGCCGCTCCCTACTCATGGCAATCGAGGAAGGGGTGGTGGAAGGGGCAGGGGTGCTTACAACAGCGGACCTCGCGGTCGTGGGAATTTCGCGCCAGCTCAAGGCCGAGGAGACTTTGCAGCTCCGCGCGGACGTGGCTACTTCACACCCGGTCAGGGTCGAGAGTCTGACTTTGCACCTTCTCGCGGACGGGGCCAATTCGTACCTGGTCATGGTCGAGGAGACTTTACACCTTCGCGCGGGCGCGGGCAGTTCACGTCTGGCCAGAGTCGAGGGGGTGATTCTGCGAACTCACGTGGTCGCGGGTATTACGCCCCAGCTCAAGGTCGTGGCCAGCATCACTATCAGCGAGGTAGCGGGCAGTAGATTCCCAGCTCCTCAAATGTATCGAGAGCGGATATAGTCGTTTGGGATGACCAAGTCCAGTACACGACCACGTCAACCTAGGGAAAACCTGGACAGGTCTGGAGCCTACATCGACGTTAGGCCACCTAATTTGCAGGGTTTCTTCTTGATGTAGCCTCTAGGGTGTTCAGTCTTTCCCTTGTATGAGGTGCGACCATTGGTGACCCGTCAAACCAAAAACAAGCCAGAAATCAACCAATATCAAAATCTGTACATGAAATCTGCTGGCTTGCAGTCGCGCTAGCAGGTGAACAGGTAACCTTTGTTTCACAATAGAGGTAGCAATTATTGCGATATGGTACCTGATATCTCAACAAAGCTAGCTAGATAGAGTTCCGGGGCTCGCGTCCGAACCAAGACGGCGTACACGTAGTTTACCGAGGTCCAGGAACATCTTGACAGGACCACTGGAGTTCAATATTTGCAGCTTCAGAAGGGCTCTTGCGCAGGAGCTCCTCGTGACCGTCTGGACGGCTTCAGTTAATATTGGTCGAGCTTGCTCTGAGCCTACACATAGAGAGGAAGCAGAGACAAGAGAGAGAGCAGCAGCAGAGGTTGATCAGATCTAGTCTACTACGTAGTACGTTCAAGAGCGAGGCCGCTAAGACGCTTATCGTGTAGACTGCAACTCTATGCAGGTCCAGTCTAGTTCCCAGCCCCCTCAGGCTATCGAGATGTTCTGAACGACGGTGACGTTGGTGGAAATTCAGATCAAGCCTAGATGAGTGTGATAGTTTGATCGACATGCTCTTACCATGGTGCCGTTTGTGTGACGTAGTCTGCTCGATGAACGAGGTGACGTTGGATCTTGGTGAGCTACTGTGATGTCGCCGAATAGTCAAAATTCGGTCGCGATACGATTGAAGCCCGAGTATGATGTAGACGAAGACTTGAGTCATGGGATCTAGTCCGCATGTGGTATCGAAGTTCACCGCTTCCCGTGACCGTGGGCAAGGTCAGGATAGCAGGACTGAGGTAACGAGATCAGTCAGCAGGTATAGCGATTGGGCAGTGCAGCGTCCCCTGACGTCTATACGGGCGTGTGATAGATCAGCATAAGGCAGCACCACCCTCTGCACACCACGTAGCAATACCCCATGGTCGAAATCTCCGGAAGACCCTGATCTTCAGTTTATCCCACGCTTCATTGCGGGGGAACGGCCCTTCTCTTCAGGCGCACAACCTGGCCAGTTGAGCATCGCGGACGGCAATGGCTTGCAGAAGTGGGCCCGTCTAGACGTGCTGCCCATGCACGATGATCACAGCCTACATACACAGCCCACTTGAGCTCTGCCACGCCGTCGCGAAGCTTCGAATGCGTCGGCAGCCCCGCAAATTTTCCACTCTTGCACTACGAGCTGAGGCAATAGGGCATATGACGACATGGTGTCTTGTGAGACTGGGCTGAGGTGCGTCGTAGCCGAGAGCCGCGCCTTAAGTGTCAGATGTTCGCCGCCGACTATTAGACCACGCTACCTTGACACCTACACTCAACAACCACTACCTGCACCTTGACCGCTACAACAAGCAAACAATATGGGTCGTCGCGATAGAGACAGACATTCCTCACCGGATCAGCCGCCCCCGCCGCCATCACGTAAGAAGTCCGGCATGCATTGAATTGGCACAGCGCTGACAGGAAGCAGATCCGGGCACGTACCGCTTTGACAGCTACGAGAACGGCAAGCCAAAATGGGCGCCTGGCAAAGACGACAAGAGAGACTACCGCGACTATCGCGATAGCCGAAGAGGCGATCACCGCCGTTCTCGCAAGGAGAGGCCTGTCGACGATGCGCCGCCGCCGCCATATCCCAACAACCCTCCACCGCCCCCGCATGGCGCCTATCCTCCACCGCCTCCACCAGGCCACGAAGGTTATCCTCCGCCGCCTCCCCCTCCGCCGCCAGGAATGGAGGGCATGCCACCTCCACCACCTGAATCTATGCCACCACCACCTAGAGGTATGCCATCCTGTCAGCGCTCTTCGCAATTCCAGCTAACCCAGCAGCAGAAGAACGCGACCCTCGTGGAGCCCGACCACGTCGCCATCGCAGGCAACCGTCCTACTCGTCCGACTCTGACTCTGACTCTCCACCACCCCAACCTCGACGCAAGCATCGCGAGGAGCGCCGCGACGACCGCCCCCGCCGACCCAGGCACGAGGATACCTACGACTCATACGACGAACACTACCCCCCTCGCAGGCCCAAAGACGATGGGCGCCGTGACCGCGACGGCTACAAGTCCGAAGGCTACAAGTCCGACCGCCGCCGCAAAGAGAAGGACCCCTACTACGATGACCGCGACCGCCGTGACAAGCCCCGTGACGATCGCAGACGCCGCGACGACGGCTACGATAACAAATACGACGATATGTTCAACAGCAAGCCGCGTCGCGACTCTCGCTATGACGATGGAGGTCGCGACAGGCGCAGTCGATACGACGACGATGATCGCTACGACGACCGCCGCAGGAGTGGTAGAGGTGGAGGCGGCAAGCCGGGAAAGCCTGGACAGCCGGAGTGGCAGAGGCAGGCCATGGGCATGTTCAAGGACTACGCCCTACCTATCATCAAGAAAGAGGGCGCTAAATATGTGCAGAAGCAGATGGCCGGTGGCTTTGGAAGGCGCTGATAGACACTGGATACGATACGACATGATATGATAACGTTGGGACGGGATTGCATGGTGTAATGGCTTGATCTTGGTATTTCAGCGTCATGTACGGCGAGTTCTCTTGGATCATGAGGGTTTGCTACTTTGGCGTTAAGGGGCTGTACTCAACTTGATACCAATCTATACACAATCTACTTTTTCTTTTGAGATATCACCCTATGGGTCCTTCACTTAGAAACAGTCGACTTTAACAGTTTTTCATTGTGCATGCGAGTAACGAACGGCTGGCCAGTCTACAGACCCTGAGTACAATTGAGAGTACGGCCAAGATTACCCCCATCCAACAACGAAGCCAGGGTCTTTCCCCGTATTTGCCGCCTGAACACAGCTCCAAGTACCAAGGGTAACAGTTTAAGCGCAGTAGGCGATGAGGCAATTGATAGCGCAGGCAAAGCCCGGGGCGAGCCCACTGCAGGCTCCAGTACAGGTCTGGTATGCATCGAGGTCGGCGCAAGCATCAGCCTGAGCATCTGATTTAGAAAAGAGTGGTTAGCAAGAGCTTCTGTGGACGTGGTAGTTCATGTGAAAAGAGCATACCGAGAGCTGCTCCAGTCTGCTCCAAAGAGGTTGCAGGAAGAGCGGTGGCCGTGATGGCGAGGGCGGCATAGACGGCAGCGAAACGCATGGTGATGGTTAAGTGGAGGACTGGTAGTGTGTGAGAAAAGTGGTTTCTTGGTTTGGATATTGGAGTTGAAGAGTAGAGTAGAGTCGAGCTGATGAAGAATACTCCCAAGCCGACAAACGACGTCTTTATATACACTTCCCCCCTGCTCTACCAAACACCTTCCCTCGAACATCGAGCGAGCATCTATATCCAAATCGAGCATGTCCGCCCGGGAACAACGGCTAAGCAACGGATCGAAATCTGGGGGCGGGTAAGGCGTCCCGTAAGCCCCATAGGATTCTGAACACAACCACCACACACGACGATCAGGCACATCTTGGGTTGACAGTTCCACTTTATGTCTCATCGTAGCGCGAGTACCGCTTCTTCGATGAGCGTGTACCTCGTATCAACCCGCCGGCTTAGTATGATTACCCCAGTTCCCCCCGCAGTGTGATGGGTACAGTGGACGGAAGCAATTTCTCCATGGATAATTGTCTTAGACCTTCTTGCTGGCCTTACGCCTGAATTGTTCAATTGGTAGTAGCTCTTACCTTTCTGACGTCGTGGATGCCACGCCGGATAGGCCCGCAGTGAAGCTTTCTACCTGAATCAAGCTTTAAGCGCCGAGGATCGTGCCTTTCTTTCCGAGACATTGGCGTTGAGGGACATGAAGAGATGGTGTGGTGATATCGATATGACGTTTCTTCCTGTCTGAAAGCATTCAAGCTTCAAGTAGATCTGATGGCGTGCTGTAAACCGTACCATATCACGTACCCAGCTTCAGCTAGCCCTTGCATCCAGCAACACACGAGCCCTGTCTTCAGTCTTTCATTGGACGGCCAATACGAGGTGACTTGTTGACTACGGCTCTGCGATCTCCTTGTCTTGCGTAGTGAAGCAAATCGACCGGTGGAAGCGTTGTCCAACAAGATAGACATGACATTGTACAAGCCAGCCAGCCAACCAAGGTGATGGGATGACAGCCGAGTTTGTTATCAATGAACAGGGAGTGTACCGTCTTCATGATCATCAATAAGAACTTCCCGAGTAGTGACTCTATTAGGCAGCGGCGCAGACGCAGGAGGCCTCACGGCAAGGCCGATTGGAGTTTGCTGGTACAAGAGTAGCGAGAGACATTGGGAGGGCGAAGTATAGGCGGCACTCGCTAATATGGAGTAATGATTGCATTAGTCTTACAACAGCGGCCAGACTAAGTCTCATTCACGTCCCCTTCTTTTAGCTGCGTCGACTGGCTGTCCAATGGCGAACTCGGGAGTATCTGGCAGAATGAGTTGTAGCCCGTCTTTGTCCTTGATCTGGTCTGTCAAGACGTCGTCATCCGAGAATGATTGATCGACCTCAGCAAGGATTTCTCTTAGAGTCGGTCTGAGATTATGATCGAAGTTCAAGCACCTCCGCACCAACTCTTTGACTTCTCGCCCGTACTTCCCAGCTGTATATTGTGCAGTGCTCTTCTCTGCGAGTACACTTTTGTCATCATTGGGACGGACGTTGTGCTCATGTCTAAGGGCTAACGGGATTTTGTGCTGGTCATCTTTTTTCGTGCTGCGCGAAGGTTTTGTGTCGCAACGAATCGGACCAAATACATCAACTTGCTTATTACATAAGAGCCTCCATGCGATGTGACCGATGCCCCAAACATCAGTTCTTTCACCCAACTCGAGATAGTACGGTTCCTCTTGTTGGTGCATTTCCTAGGAGCGATTAGCTGTCGTAGCGATTGACGTTTCGGAGAAAGAAAGGTACTTACAGGAGGATATCGCGTGTCAGTTTCGTGGATGACATAGTCGTCAGGATTGTCGGTAATCGGACAGTTGCCACGATCCGGACTGAAGAAGGAAATACCAAAGTCTGCGAGAACAGGCATCACGGGAGGCTCTCTAGCCCTCCAATCGTCAGCGTCGGCACGGTTGAGTCTAGCACTCTTGGAGGAGCCCGCTTTTGACTTTCCTTTGGCTTCCGGAATCTGTGGAGTATAAACATTCAAAAGTATGTTTGGTAACTGCAAATCCAAGTGGGTGATGGGTCTCCAGCCATCAACCGTAGTGCCATCGATGGTGCCTTCGCGAAGCACCAGACAAGCAGTCGCGAGCGCTTTGATGGTATACCAGACGAACCCCTCTGGTACGAATATGTCCTCGTCGGTGGGTTTCCCGTCCTTCCAGCTTTTAGCATGAAATGTCATTGCCGCGTTCATGTCGCCACCCGAATGGTAATCTAGATACAATCTGTATCTTCTATGTTCCATCCATAGTCGGTGTGCGCGGCAACGGATAATATGACGACACATGGCTGGTTCCACGACACGACGTTCTTCGAGAAGCTGGTGGATACGTATTTCTTGTGGCAATCGGTCCCGCCAGTTCTTGGGATCGCGCCATCGGCTTGGTGTGAAGGCTTTGGCTTCTTTGATCACCATTCTCTGGTGTTGATGTTAGCTTATCGCTGAGGAAAGGGCACTGATCGTGTCTGTGACTAGATACATACGTCACGAATATTGTTTGCTGCATCGGCTTCAGCCCACAAACCGGCTGCGCCATAGCTACCAGATCCTAATAGCTTGATGCCATGCCAACGAGAGTTGTCGTTCGGTGGAGGCATGCGCGGCTCAGTGTCGAGCCAATGTTCCTTTACGAAATCAACATCGTCTTTCAACGCTTGCATGTCAAGGAATGGTTTTCGGTGTCCGCAAGGGGAGCGCACCGCGATGACGCGATGGTACGTGCGTGCTTACATCAGCAGATCTGCCCGTAACAGGCAAATTCCGATCTGGCGTTGATCACGGATGACGCTCCTGATGTTCAAGGCGACAATAGCATCGGGAACGGCCTCTCCACCATCCTCACCATTGCCTCAAGCGGTCGCGTCATGCCGGAGATACAAGAGACGTCTGAACCCCATCAGCGCTTTTGGAGAAGCTTTTCTTCACTTTGGGGTTATGCTCAACGCTAACAGCGATGCTGCAGTCAAAATCGAATCCAAGTTTCCCCATGTCGCGCTGCTGAGCTAATTGTGTATCACTGGCTACCGAATGTTGCGGGCGTCCTGCAGGCATGGGCCGCAGTTGTTCTACTTCCACCTCTGCGCAATTCCACACTCAGATTTAAATCAAATCAAGATCAGCTCATGCGGATCGACTGCGATTCCAGGAGACCTGTCGGACCATGACATTGTCTCCTCTTCCTCAAAGCCCGATGGTGGTCGAACCGCCTAACAACCTCTGTTCGCAGTGCGCAGCTTTCGATCTGGACGATGCACTTCGATTCAACCCTGGGGTACCGGTCCGAACCGTCTTGAAAATAACTCGATTGAAGCCAGAAACTTGTAGTCTCTGCAGATTCCTATCCGGCAGCATGGGTCAGGTGCCAGGAGGCGGGGTGTGCAACCTTAACGCAGTGCAATCTCACGTCGCAGTAACACCTCTTCTCGAAAAGATCGAAGCACCCATACTTTGTATTGAACGACGCAAGGAGTACAGTCTCTTCGATCTTCTCGATATCCGCAGTTCCATCATCTTCGATCCGGATGGACCAATCAGTCAGAATCTGCGAGCAATCACACCTATGATCGATGATTACACGGAAGTCCGCGAGTGGATCGCCTCATGCGTACAGAAGCATGAATGCCATATACCTCGCATATTGAGTGGATCGAAACACGACACCAAAGTACGCAATCTGAGAGTTATCGACTGCAGAAGCCGCTTGGTTGTAGAACTACCACAAAGCGGATCGTATGTGACATTAAGCTATGTGTGGGGAAAGCCGGATGATCAGCAAGCAGGCGTTGAGTCATTGGAGCCTGACTCTTTACCGTCCAATTTACCTAGAACTATCGAGGATGCCATCAAAATCACGCTAATGCTTGGGTATGACTACCTGTGGGTCGATAGATATTGTTTGGAGAAGTCTTCGGAAGACTTTCATCGACAGCTCAAACAGATGGACAAGATCTACGCAGGATCTGTATTGACGATCATCGCAGCGGCCGGGTCAGACGGTAATTACGGACTGCCAGGTGTTAGCCGGCAACGCAAAGTAAACCAACCTGTCCACATTGGGCATCGAACACTCGATTCCACTCCCATCTTCTGCAGCGACACTTTAGAGAGCACAACATGGAGTACAAGAGGTTGGACATATCAAGAGGGCTTGCTTCCGACTAGACGTCTTGTCTTCACTGACACTCAACTGTACTTTGAATGCCAGGACAGGTTTAGAATGGAAGGCTGGATGGCTCGCGAAGATATGTTCTGGCGCCGTGGCGAGGAGAGTACTGGATCTTGGTTCGACGCCTTCAAGGAACCCGACCCAGGCCTCTTCCCAACTATCCAAAGCCACGCTATGATCGTTCTCGACCGTATTGAAGCGTTCTCAAGGCGCTCGCTCACATATGAGAGCGACATACTGAATGCAATGCTTGGGATATTCGCATCGTTAGAACACTCAGATCGTCTAAAACACCTCTGGGGGCTGCCGTACTGTGACAGCGATCCTCTTCGATCGGACAGTACACCACTTGCTATATCAAACAAAAAGTTCGTCAGTAACTTGAGCTGGGACGTGGAGTTTCCAGCTAGACGACGAGTTGACTTTCCCAGCTGGTCGTGGTCCGGATGGGACGGTACCGTAAGATGGGCAAGAGGGCTGAAGATGTTGTTCATGATGAGACAACATCGAACTACGAGTAAAATCCCATGCGTGGTTAAGCTAGAGCTCCAATCTGGAAAGATCATCGATTGGAGCACCTACCAAGAAATATACAGTTCCAGCGTAGATTCCACACAGATACCGAGCAGATATATCCACATCAGCGCCTACATTACTCGAATCATGCCGCTCCCGCTACCACATTCGCATGTCTCGCGCACATATTGTCTTGAGTCTGACCTGGGAAGCACCCGCACAGGGTCTCGAATATGGACATGAGCGAGAATGTCATGTCTTGGTAGTTCAGTGCCGAGGTTCGCATTGGGAACGAATTGGTACTGGGATGACATCGGTCGTGTTCGAAACAGCACCTGTCGAGAAGAGGTGGACCGAAATCCGCCTTGGCTAATTGAGTCTACATGTCCGCTCACTAACTACTGCGAAACTCATCACCACCGCAGCCTCCTCATAGCAAGCTCTATTTCTTGTAGAATGTACTCATGCGATACTTTGTTTCACCTTCATATTGCGCGAGGTCTGCCAATGCCTGTTCGCCCTCTCTTACGATAGCTTGACGTATCTTCTCGGTCCGTGGCTTTATGCTCACTTTGAACGGCTGCGGCCGCATATTTAAACCGTTGCTTGAAGATGTCAGTATCTCGCATGCTGGTCTCCTTCCACTGGAAACTTACGTGTAGTCAAATATGTCGACCGGGATAGGCTTGCCATTCCCATCTAGTGCTGGCTCAATCCTGAAGCCCCATACCAATCGCGCCACCGTCAGCCACGTGCCCTGCTCGGCAAGTGCCTGACCTGAGCACACTCGACGACCCCAACCAAATGTCATGTACCCTCTTTCGCCGGGGAAAGGTCGCGAATCAGGATGGTCCTTCAAGAAGCGGTTCGGGTTGAAACGGTCGGGTTCAGGAAAGTCACGCTCGTTATGGTGTATCGCCCAGACGTTGCCCTGTACCCATGCTGATTGCGGGATCAGATAACCGTTGTAGTAATCGTCCTGAACTGGAGCGTGCGGTTGTCCACCAATGATGGCTACTGATCGCCATCGGAACACTTCCTTTACAAATGCTCGCATATAAGGCAGGTTTGCATCGTCCTCGAACGAAGGACTACGGTCCTCTCCGACAACGCGATCTAACTCTTCCCACGCGGCCTGCATAGTTTCTGGGAACGCTCGCATGGCGAGAACAGCGGTGATGAGCGTACTACTTGATGTGTCGGACCCCGCGCCGAACAGGTTACCAGTTAATGCCGAAATCTCCTTGTGATTCAGACCGTATTTCTCCTGCTCGCGAAACAACATCTTTGAATAGCAGTCTTCGTGTCCTGGCTTCTCGTTGGCTTCTCTAGCGAGCGAATAAAAGAAGTCATGGCCGCGGGATGACTTCTTCTTCGATCCCATGCCGTGCTTCCATGGGGCATATTCCGTAGGTACGCGAGCAAGGATCGGAAAGGTCTCCATTAGCATAGGGAATGTCTTGCCCGGTACGTTCAGATCAGCCGCTCTGTGCATCAATGCGATGACCTCAGTGATGATTGGATCTTCGTGGCTTGCAACGCGTCTGCCAAAGCCGATGATAGAGACCACACTGGTCGCGTAGCGTTCAAAGTGCGCAACGTAGTTTTCGGGGGTACTCAGGAGATCGAGGGCGACGACTTTACTCTCATCGTTCTGGAAGTCGCGGTACTTCTTCACCTGCTGAATGCCAACGCCCTGATGCGTCACCTTGCGTAGCATCCGGAAACGCTCACGCTGCGCCTGTGTAGTAGTGATCAGGTTCACGAGGTTGTTTTGGCCAGATCCGAGTTCGGCAAAGACAAGCATGCGCGGTCGCGAGCAGTATATGCCAGCTCTTTTGTCGAGTAGTTCATTTGCGGTCCATGCATCGTTGATCCAAACGGTTGGGTTACGTCCGATCCAATACGTTATCAGCGGCGTGTTGTATTTCTTGGATAGCTCCTCGAAGAAAATCCAGGGCTTGTTGTCAGGCAGCTGGAACGTGTTGCCAACGATGGGGTATGGGAAGGGCCCTGGGGGCTATTCAACGTTAGTACCATCATCGGATATTATGTGTCGCTCTTACCATCTTCGATCTCATGTGCAGCATCCGAGCATAATCTGCAAGTACACCTAGGACTGCAGTCAAGAAGACTGCCAAGGCGATGTTGCCAGCACCAAATTTGGAGATGCCATGCTGCACATAGTGTAAAGGCAGAGCCTCAAACATTTGCTCTATCGCCATGTTTTCCGCTGTATTGATCGTGTTCACTGGGAATGCTCCTCAGAAGAAGACTGCTCCAAGCAACAGTTGAGACCAAGGGATGCATTGCAGCTCGCACGACGCGCCTGTTATGAAGCGACCAATGAACAAACACATGAATCAGAGCTTGCTAATCAACAGGCATCGCCGCCAGCAGCATTGAAAGTAGCCATCCTCGGAGGGTTGCATGCGCGCAACGCCTAACCCCACATCGCGGGGGTGGGGCACAGACCGCCGGGTAAAGTTTGCAGCCTCGTGGGCATTTCACA